TGATAGAAACAAATTGAGTCTACGTATATCCTGCTGTAGCAGACCAGGCTGGCACTGATCCCTGGTCACCTGCTGCTGAACTTTGGGAGGGTGGAAGTAGCACTACAGAATCACAGAATCGAAAGGGACTTTAAAGACTTTAGCAAAAATCCCCAACTTTAGATAGGAGGAAACTGAGGTCTAGCGGGGAAAGTTGACTTCGCAAGTTCACACATAGCTGGTTTGTGATGGAGTCGGGATTAGAACCCAGGTTACCTAGTGTGCAATAAATGCAAAAAAGCACTCACTTGGAAGCAGGAGATTTACCATGTGGTTGGGATCCACCATGAACTGGATAGATCATGGGGTGGAGGAAATCCATGAGCAGGCAGTGTTTAAAGATGTAAGGAAGTAGACCCCTTCTCCCACCCTAAATGACACTCTCATCTGTTCACCAGTGCTGAATAATGATAGTTAATAACAATAAGTGGCATGCATTATTCTTCAATAAGTATTTGTTAAGCATGTTCCGTGTGTCAGCCTTTCTGTTACAATGCTTATATACGTTATCTTAATATTCACTACAGTTTTATGAGTTGACCATTATTGGTAGCAGTATTTACTCAATAAATGGTAATGATTACTATTTCCACCTCCTTGCTATGCTAGGCTGTTAGCATGACTCCATCTCTCTACCTCAGGCTGCGTGCTTAATCCGTTCTAACCCTGCTGGTTACCAGAACTGCCAATTGTCTGTTTAGATCTGCTTTGCCTGAGATGACACACTTGCCAGAGCACACTCTCCCAGAACCTGAAGCCCTGTCTGTCCTTCAAGGTGCCTTCCTGACTTTCACAGCCAGCTCCAGGGGAGGTTCTAGCCTTACCCCACTCCCTCCTTCCAGCTATCAACTGCGCCATGCCTGCCCGATATCAAGATATCAGAGATCTTTTCTAGGAAAGGGTTTTGATAAAGGTTGGCACTCACCGATGATGCTTGCTATCGGGGTTAGTCATTTGTGTTAAGTAGGTCGGGGCAGGCAGAGTGGTGAGGATGTCCAGCTTTAAAGCAAGGCTGAAAGAAAAACAGAAGTTAGTACGTGTGGAAACATTACCACGTTAACTGTAACATAAGTGAGAGGAAGCACACACACCAAAACACGCAGGGGGACACAGTGTTTTGCTAAATCATTTCTGAGTACACCTGGGCATCTCAATCTAGAGGCACAAAGACTGGTCAGTTGTAGTCAGACAAAGAATACTTAGTTAAATTTTGAAAACTTACACTCTTTAAAATTTCATTATAAATACTATAGCTATACAAAGAAAAACTAATAAAATATTCATAGTGCTTATTTCTTAGTGGGATCATAGATAATTCTTATATTCTTTTATATATTATTTTTCTCCAGATTTTTTTACAATGACACTGTTTTGCTTTCTAATGATACTATGTTTCAAAAATCTAGATTTTTTTTTTTTTTTTTTTGAGATGGAGTCTTGCTCTGTAGCCCAGGCTGGAGTGCAGTGGCGTGATCTTGGCTCACTGTAAGCTCCGCCTCCTGGGTTCACACCATTCTCCTGCCTCAGCCTCGCGTGTAACTGGGACTACAGGCTCCCAGCACCACGCCTGGCTAATTTTTTTGTATTTTTGGTAGAGACGGGGTTTCGCCGTGTTAGTCAAGATGGTCTCGATCTCCTGACCTCGTGATCCGCCCACCTCGGCCTCCCAAAGTGCTGGGATTACAGGCGTGAGCCACCGCGCCTGGCCTAGATTCTTAAAAATATATTAAAGACAACTACAGCACAGAGACTCTTTAAGATTTTAATGATTTAAATACTTCTTTATCTAGCCCTTGTCAGAAATCTGGAAACATTGAGTAGGCTGGTAATACCTCTCATTTGCAAGCCAGTAGTTATTGTGTGTGAAAAAGGAAGTCACAGTGAAAGAACAGAAAAGCCTTAGTTATTATGCGGCAAACAGGTTTCAGAAGTCCCACAGTGTCTCAAGACAGTTATCCCCGCAAGTCATAGTTGTCAGGAGAAAACCTTGTTAAGACTACAGCTGCCCATGCACAAATTGAAAGTGAACAGGAGGAAGCCAAGCAGTTCCTTCCAGCCAAGTTCCTTCCACAAGGCATGGCCCTTCCGGTCACCCCACCTGCTCCTATTCAGCCTCTTTTGAATGCCCAGCTCATCAACAGTTGGCCTTTCATTTCACTCTGCTGACAAGGTTCAGTCATTAACAGAGGCCAACCAGGGGTTCAATGTGAACTCAAGTGCAGATACCAAGTTAACATTTGAAAATATGCATCTGAAGTTTAAGGTGAAGTTTGGGCTGGAGATAGGAATTTGATGATTACTAATACATATGTGGTATTTACAACCATGAACTGAATGAAATCACCAAGGAATAGGTTTAGATGGAGAAAGGAAGATAGTTTGAGACTGAGCCTTTGCATATTCCAACATCAAGGGATCTAGAAGAAGAGCAGGAACCAGCCAAAAAGACTAAGGAGTGATCAGTAATACAGGAGGAAAACCAAGAGAGTATGGTTTCCTGGAACACCGCAGAGGAGGGAGGTTCTATGTCACACATTTTTGGCAGGTCAACTAAAATAAGGAGTAAGAATTGACTGCTAGAGGCCAGGCATGGTGGCTCACGCCTGTAATCCCAACACTTTGGGAGGCCGGGGCAGGCAAATCACTTGATGTCAGGAGTTCGAGACCAGACTGGCCAACATGGTGAAAACCCATCTCTACTAAAAATACAAAAATTAGTCAGGTGTGGCAGCAAATGCCTGTAATGGCAGCTACTCGGGAGGCTGAGGCAGAAGAATCACTTGAACCTGGGAGGGAGGTTGTAGTGAGTCAAGATTGCCCCATTGTTCTCCAGCCTGGGTGACAGATGGTGACTCCATCTCAAAAAAAGTAATAATAATAATAATTGAGGGCTGGATTTAGCAACATGGAGTTGATCAGTGACTTTGACAAAATTAGTTTCCGTGGCATAATGGGACAAAAGTCTAATTAGAATGCGTTTAAAAGAGAATGGGAAGGGAGAGGTTGGAAGCTCAAGTAGAGACAATTCTTTCAAGGAATTTTGCTAAAAAAGACAATAACTACTGATGAAAGTGAGATGAAGAGATTTTTCTTCTAAAATGAAAGAAATAATGGCATGCTTGTAAACAGATAGGAATGAGCCAAAGGACAGCAAAAGCTTGACGATGTAAAAGATTGAGAGAGGAAGGAGAAATGCTGCTGCCCTTGAATAGAAACACAGGTGGACTTAGTGCCCAAATGGAGTTCTTGGTTTTAGATAAGAGCATGGGTGGTCCCTCTCTGGTAGCCAAAGGGTTGACAGAGTATGGGTTGCAGCTGCCGTTAGATTCGTAGAAGGGAGTGGTAGCCTGTGGAAGTCCTTGTCTGGTAAGGATGAGGGTGGAGGAGGAAGAGACAGAATGAAATAGTCACCTAAGTGAGCAGAAGGTAAACAGATCATAAAAGAACAGTAAGAGTTCAGGAATAGGATCCATAGATTCGAGGTCCCAGTGGGATTTTAGGATTGTTGGATTTTGGAGACTAAAAGGGGACAAGATGGGTACTAGTGAATAGAGAGAGAGATTCATGAATTCGAAAATCTGGAAGAGTTGCTGTGATTGATGATAACAAAGTTTAGGCTGTATGACCATGGAAGTGAATGACTGAGGTTGTGTCAAGGACATCTTTGGAAGAAACTATTTTAAGGAACGGAGAGTCCTGGATCATCACATGATTATTGAAATATCCAAGAATAAGAGTGGTTTGTGGAGACCAAGTGATCCAGGAGCCAAAATGCCCTGAGAACTGGCAGCTGATAGCAACAATGAAGGGCAGTGGGAGAATAGAATCTGGTGACATGAATTCCAAAGTTGGGGATAGGAGTGTGTGAAAGCAAGGTTCATAAGTGGCAGTTAAGAACAGGAGACCTCTATCTAGGATGGTGGTTTAGGGGCTGTAGGAGAATAAGCTGGCCTTTGAGAGGGTTATAGGAGAGGTGAAAAAATGTAAATTACTGGGAAGAGTAATCCATTGCCTTTTTTTTTTTTTTTTTGAGACAGCCTTGCTCTGTTGCCCAGGCTGGAGTGCAGTGGCCTGATCTTGGCTCACTGCAACTTCTGCTTCCTGGATTCAAACGATTCTCCTGCCTCAGCCTCCTGAGTAGCTGAGATTACAGGCACACCCCACCACACCTGGCTAATTTTGTATTTTTAGTAGAGATGAGGTTTCACCATGTTTTGTCCAGACTGGTCTTGAACTCTTGACCTCACGTGGTCTGCCTGCCTCAGCCTCCCGAAGTGCTGGGATTACAGGTGCAAGATACTGTGCCCGGCCACATTGTCATTTTAATATACGATAAAGTAGTAATTATAATTGCAAACTTCGTTAGCAACATTTTTGTATAAATAACTGGGGGATTCCCATTTTTCTGGCAGGCCCCAAAAGTAGTAAAGAGACTTTTTTAAAGTCAGTGGATGAAAGTTTCAGGACTCCAGGAGATAACGTATCAACCCCAAAGGTTTTTCAGCAAACTCCTTTTATTTCACGCATAATGAAATTATCAGATATGACCACCACTGATAGTTTGATCCTCTGATGGTGAGTTTTCTCTTCTTTATGGTTGAACTTCTTCAAAAGTTTAAGGAGAAATTTGAAGCCCTTTCCCCTATTTAAGGGAGGCAGGAAACCAAAAGAGGTTTGTCCCCCAGTCAAGCACTCTGGGCAGTATCTGGTCTCCCTTGATGTGACATTCTTTTTCCTTTTATATCTAAAGTGATGGACAGTGATGATACAATTGTAACTTCTCCGCACTCATTTGCAACTCAGGAACTTGACCTTCCTGTTCCCTTATCCGATGTTTCAAATAGCAAACATGCAACAATGCTCATGACATAATGCAGGAAATAGAGTAGAGACTATTCCTTCTTCTGTTTATTCTCTAATTATAACAAAGTCCTCTGTTTTTATGTCTTTTTCTTAACTAGGAAGTTCTTCTAAATCAGGAATGGATTGAAATCCAATGAACTCAAACTTTGGGTAAGTTTTCTATGAAACTTTTGAATTAAGTTATTTTTTCCTAACTACATAGCAATACATAGTCATTGTAGAAAATAGGAAAAGAAGAGGAAAATAGTAGAAAAGTACCACTTAGAGACAAACATTCCACATTTTATTGTATTTCCTTCTGATTATTCTTCAATAATTTTTAAAAATTGTGGTAAAATACACATAATGTAAAATGTACCATCTTAACAATTTTAAGTGCACATTTCAATGGTATTAAGTACATTCATATTGTTGCACTGCAATAACTACCATCCATCCACAGAAGTCTTTTTTATCTCACAAATTTGAAACTCTGCACCCAGTAGACAATAACTCCCATTTCTGTCTTCCCCAGCCCCTGGCAAACACCATTTTCCTTTTTGTGTCTATCAATGTGACTACTCTAGGTACTTCATATAAGTGATGTCATGCTGTATTTGTCCTCTTATGCCTGGCTTCCTTCACTCAGCATAATGTCCTCAATGTTCATCCATATGTCAGAATTGCCTTCCTTTTTAAGGTGGAATAATATTTTATTGCATGTACATACCAATTTGGTTTCTCCATTCATCCATTCAGTGGACTGCTTCCATATTTTGGCTATTGCTGATCATGTAATGGACATGGGTATACAAATATCTCCTTGAGTTCCTGCTTTCAATTCTTTTAGGTGTATTTGGAGTGAAATTCCTAGATCATATGGTAATTCTATTTTTAACATTCTGAGGAACTACCATACAGTGACATCCTGTCAATAGTGCACAAGAGTTCTGATTTCTCCACAACCTTTCCAACATGTTATTTTCTGCTTTTTTTTCATGGTAGCCATCTTAATGGGTGTGAGGTAGTATCTCATTGTGCTTTTGATCTGCATTTCTGTAATGATTAGTGATGCTGGAGACTTTTTCTGTACTCATTGCCATTTGTGTATCTTCTTTGGAGAAATGTCTATTCAAACTTTGCCCCTTTTTTTCAAGCTTTGTCTGCTTTATTCCACTACATAAAGTAAGGCAAAACAGTAACCTGTCATTCATAAAGATCAAGGAGTGCCTGCCATTCCCAAAAGGGACCAAAAAGGATGTTTCTTCACAAATGTGCGTGACATTTATCATTATGCTGATAAGCACTTTAAACAACAACAAAAAACTTTAATGGATAAATCAAATAACAGATCCAAATTAACTGAGCTTTAAGTTTCCAAAATTGTTCTTTCAAATGCTAATGCTCTGCCCATTTTTTAATTGGGTTGTTTTTTTGTTGTTGAGTTACAGTTGTTCTTTATATAGTCTGGATATTAACTCATTGTCAGCTACATGATTTGCAAATATTTGTTCTCATTTCTAGGTTTCCTTTTCACTCTGCTGATTGTGCCTTTGACGCCCAAAGTTTTCAATTTTGATGTAGTCTAATTTATCTATTTTTTCTTTTGTTGCCTGTGCTTTCCATGTCACATAAAAAAAAATCACTACCAAACCCTATTTCCATGAAGCCTTTCTCCTATGTGTTCTTCTAAGAGTTTTCTAGTTTTAACTCTTACATTTGGGTCTTTGATCCATTTTGAGTTAATTTTTGTAGGTGGTGTTGTAAAGTAAAGGCCCCACTTCATTCTTCTGTATGTGGATATAGTTTTCCCAATACCATTTGTTGAAAAAAAACTATTCTTTCCTCATTGGATGGTCTTGGCACTCCTGTTGGAAATCATGTGACCCTATATATGATGATTTATTTCTGGGCTTCTTATACATCGATGGTCTATACTACTGTTTGGATTACTATAGCTTCATTGCAAGTTTTGAAATCAGGAAGTGTGAGTCTTTCAATTTTCCTTTTTTTCAAAATTGTTTTAGCTATTCAAAGTCCCTTGAGATTCTATACAAATGTTAGGATGGATTTTTCAACTTCTGGCAGAAAATGTCCATGGTTTTTGATGATTTTTCACAGAGCTGCTATTTCACTGTATGAACAATTTTATATTTTGCTTTGTCTTACTTAAAATTGTGATATATATACCATTACAAAATAAATGTTACTTATTATTCAAACATTTCACAAACATACTTTACAGTGACATAAAGGAAATGTACAAATCGAAGTGTAGTTGAAAGGTCTGAAAATATGCCTCAAACCACAAGACGTGTGTATACTTTAGATACTATAATCATTAAAATGAGAAGAATTTGATTCAAGACATTTCAGAGTATTAGGAAGTGATATTTATACTGAGTAGAAAGGAATTAATAAACAATTGTATTAGTTTAAAAGACCTTTTTAAAGTATATACTTACACTACTTTTGACTAACTACAACTCGGAATCATTTATTTACTTACCAAACATTTACTGAATTTCTATAGTTTCTGAAGTTCTGGGAACCTAGGTATAAATTAAATAGGGTCTTCACCCCAGGGGGAGGAAATAAATGCTGAAATTTAATGAAATTTTCATGTGTCATGAACTTTTACTTGCTTATTTAATCTTTCCCTCAGTCCTATGAGGAAGTGGCGTTAACTCCGTTTAAAGATGAGGAAACGAATATTCATTTCAGAAAAGCTGAGCTACTTATTGAAGGTGACAAAAACAGTGAGTGTCAAGGCTAAGTGATTAGCCCAGGGTCATTTGCCTCCAAAGCTCATATCCTTTTCACTCCTCCAGGTTGCTTTTGTCGCTTATGACCTAACATGGAACACTGGAGTATATGCAACTACCATGACAGCAATTAATTCTGCCGTATTAGAGTCAAGAAAGTCTTTAGAGAAGCACCTTTATAACCTAAGACTTGAAAACTGATGAGTTTATTAGATAAAAATTGGGAGAGGAACTTTCATTCATTCATTCATTTAGGTGTCCATTAACAACTTCTACAGTGTGCTAGTCAAAGCATGAGACGCTGAGATGAAAAAAATGAGTGAGACACTGTGGTCATCCACAGGAGTCACAGTCTACTGGGAAACAGTTAAGTAACTGAATTATGACAAAGCATGATGTCAGAATCTGCCATAGAGTTGAAAACAGAGTCCTGGGGTCACCATTCCAGAGTCCTAAGGGCAAGTTCACAGTGGCAGAAGCTACACTGATGGCAGGTAGTGCTGAATATGGCAGCTTGGACCCTCCATGCCAAGTTCAGGAGTTTGGGTTTCATCCTATAGGCAACAATGCACCAGGAGTTTCTAAGTAGGAAAGTAACACAGTCAGTTCTGCTTTCTAAGAACCTATCTGGGCAGCACATGAAGCATAAAGAATGGGAACTGGGAAAGAGACAAGTGGCGGGAAGACCAGCCTGGAGGCTAGTGGTTCAAACTAAAGAGGGAGAAAGCCTGAAAGAGGCAGAAAGAAGAGAGACTGAGAAGCAAAGACCATATTTATGAGGTGAGGTTGGCAGCTTTGTTGCCTGTGGGGTGTGTGCTGAGAGTAAGGAAGGAGACAAGAGAACATGACCAAAGACTTTGGGGTCATGTACATGTTCAGAACCAGCATTGTTTGCAAGTTATGGACCCATGGTACATTTAATAGATAGGGCTCTTTTGCATTATCAGTATTTCTCTTATATACTTAGTCACTCTAAAATGACTACATGACTATTTTTATACCAATACCATTCCGTTTCGTGACTATGGCCTTATAATATAGTTTGAAATCAGGAAGTGTGATGTCTCCAGATTTGTTCTTTTTGTTTAGTCTTGCTTTGACTGTGCTGGCTCTTTTCTGGTTCCATATGAACTTTAGAATTATTTTTTTCTAATTCTGTGAAAAATGATGATGGTACTTTGATGGGAATTGCATTGAATTTGTAGATTGCTTCTGGCAGTATGCTTATTTTCACAATATTGATTCTATCCATCCATGAGCATGGGATGTGTTTCCATTTGTTGGTGTCATCTATCATTTCTTTCAGCAGTGTTTTGTAGTTTTCCTTGTAGAGGTTTTTCACCTCCTTGGTTAAGTATATTCCTAAGTATTTTATTTTTTTGCAGCTATTTTAAAAGGGGTTGAGTTCTTGATTTGAATCTCAGCTTGGTCACTGTTGGTGTCTAGCAGAGCTACTGATTTGTGTACATTCATTTTGTATCCTGAAACTTTACTTAATTAAAACTTTACTACTGATTTGTGTATATTAATTTTGTATCCTGAAACTTTACTTTACAGTTCTAGGAGCTTTTTGGATGAGTCCTTAGGGTTTTCTAGGTATACAATCATGTCATCAGCTAACAATGACAGTTTGACTTCCTTATTACCAATTTGGATGCCCTTTATTTCTTTCTCTTATCCAATTGCTCTGGCTAGGACTTCCAGTGCTATGCTGAATAGAAGCTGTGAAAGTGGGCAACCTTGTCTTGTTCCATTTCTCAGGGGGAATGCTTTCATCTTTTCCCCATTCGGTATAATGTTGACTATGGGTTTGTCACAAATGGCGTTTATTACCTTATGGTATGCCCCTTCTATGCCAATTCTGTTGAGAGTTTTAATTATAAAGAGATGCTGGATTTTGTCAAATGCTTTTTCTGCATCTATCGAGGTAATCATGTGATTTTTATTTTTAATTCTGTTTATGTGGTGTATCACATTTATTGCCTCGCAGATGTTAAACCATCCCTGCATCCCGGTATGAAACCCACCTGATCATGGTCGATTATCTTTTTTATATGCTGTTGGATTCTGTTAGCTAGTATTTTGTTCAGGATTTTTGCATCTATGTTCATCAGGAATATTGGCGTGTAGGTTTCTTTTTTTGTTATGTCCTTTCCTGGTTTTGATATTAGGGCGATACTGACTTCATAGAATGATTTAGGAAGGATTCTCTCTTTATCTTTTGGAACAGTTTCAATAGGATTGGTACCATTCGTCTTTAAATGTCTGGTATAATTCAGCTGTGAATTCATTTGGTCCTGAACTTTTTTTTGTTGCTAACTTTTTAGTTACCATTTCAATCTCACTTACTGTTATTGGTCTGTTCAGAGTTTCTATTTCTTCCTGGTTTAATCTAGGAGGGTTGTA